GCACGTGCACTCAATGGTTGCAGTTCCTGGGCTCTAGAGCATAGGCTCAAAAACTGTGGTGCTCGGCTTACTTGCTCCAAGGCACGTGGGATCTTCCCACATCAGGGATTGAACCCTTGTCTCCTGCATTGGCAGGTAGATTCCTTACCACTGAGTCACCAGAAGCCCCAAAATATTTTTATTTATTTATTTGGCTGCCCTGGGTCTTAGTTGTGATATATGGGATCTAGTTCCCTGACCAGGGATCGAACTTGGGCTCCCTGAATTAGGAGCACGGAGTCTTAGCCACACTGGAACACCAGAGATGTCCTGGTAGCATAAAGTATTTTTAATTAATTCACTAATTTGGTAAAGTGTTTAAAATGATCTTTTTTCCTTTTATTTGGTGGCCCACTTTCAGAAGGGCTGACAGAAGGTAAAAAGTGAGGCTATTCTCAAAACCGGAGTATAAAGATTAGACACTAGGATTTTCAGTTAAGATCTCTTTAGGGACAAAAGCAAAAAAAAAAATCAAGTTTTATAAGTAGTAACTTGCTTAGTACAGTATACTAAGAGATCTCCTATTAAATTAGAATGTAACTATACAATTTGAAAGTCCTGTTCAGTTGATTAAATTAGGTGTTCCCTGCATTAGCTTTTTTTTTTTTTTTACCTTTTAAAGATGAGAATATTATTTTTCTACAGAAATCCAATGTTTAAAGTCAGGGCTTGGCATTTAAACCACTGCAGAGGTTATGGAGAATAAAGTACATATAAATCATGGGAAATGTGTGTTAGCTAATGACTAATGCTCAGGAGAGATTATCAAAGGAGAACTGTTTGTTTTTAAAACTGTGTTGAGCCTTTTCACCCTAATATTGCCTGTGTAGCTGCCATGATGGACAGTTCTTAGGCTATTCAATTGTTTTTAAACAGAAATGCCAACTCCACTGATTTCCTCATTGCTGATGGACATTCATGTTTTCAAACATATGCATGTACCAGGAAATGAAATATGATAACTACATGCTGTGTTAAGGAAAATACTACAAAGGAGAAAATATTATTTTTAGATAAGATGATTTCCTCAACCTTTCACTATATCTTATAAATTTGTCCACTCTATGCTAGAATATGGACATGGGTGATATATATTTTTTCCTGTTGTGAACAACACTTACTATCCATCTATTCCTCTCTCACTTTCTTTCAGCAAACTGAACCCAAGATTTCATTGTTAAGTTCAATAAAACAAGGAAGTGAACAATTCTATTAACTGGAAAGAAAAGGGGGTTACGTAAGAATCAGCCTTCAGGGGTCTGCTGAGCAAAAGGAGTCCAAAAGAAGAAACAGAACAGCTGTGAGTTTCACGAGAAAGAGTAGTTGTGGCTCTGGGCTGACCCTACATAGTTCTTATTCTAGTAAAGTAATATCAGCACTTTTGACTTCTCCCTTTTGTTAAAAGAACACTTTTCTTCCTGTGCATCAAGGAACTTGCTCCCATAGATGTGGGGTTTTTTTGTTTGTTTGTTTGTTTTTGCACTGAACAGCTTATAGCATCTTAGTTCCTCAACTAGGGATTAAATCTGGGCCACAGTAGTGAAAGCTCCAAGTCCTAACCACTGGACTGCCAGAGAGTTCCCATAATATGTAGAGTTTCAATACTCATTCTACGTAAATGTAATCTGTATTTATTCCCTGAAATGTAAATATATAGGATAATAACATCCTGGGCAAAGTAACCTTTTAAAAAGGATGGCAGAGATTCAGGATCTTCAGGCTATGAAGGGGCTTCCCAGGAGGCTCAGTGGGTCAAGAATCCGCCTGCAATGCAGGAGACGCAGGCTTGATCCCTGGATTGGGAAGAACCCTTGGAGGAGGGCATGGAAACCCATTCTAGGAGGCTTGCCTGTAGAATTCCATGGATAGAGGAGCCTGGCAGGCTGCAGTCCATGGGGTCACAAAGAGTAGGACATGACTGAAGTAACTTAGCACACACGCATGCATGGGCTATGAAGAGTTCCTTTGTTATCTGTGTGCAGCCATTCATTTAAAAGGTTATTGGATCCTCTAGATTCCAGGAGGTCTCAGAATGAAGCCCTGGCCATGAGTTATATAAAACGCTTCCAAAGTGCTCTGTGTGTTCTAAGCTGACATCTTATGTTACAAATATTGCTCAGGAAAATGCATTTACAGGATATGTATATAAATCAAAGGCTTCCCAGGTGGCTCAGTGGTAAAGAATCCACCTGCCAATGCAGGAGATACAAGAAACACAGTTTCAATCCCTGGGATGATCGGGATCGGGATGATCCCATGGAGGAAATGGCAACCCACTCCAGTATTCTTTCCTGTAATATCCCATGTACAGAGGAGCCTGGCAGGCTACAGTCCATGGAATCACAAAGAGTCAGACACAACTGATTAACTGAGCATGCATATAAGTCAAAGCTATTCAGTTAAACACAATTAAGAATGTAGAATCTGGCATTCATTATTAATAGAGCAAAAACAACATTCTCCAATACTAAATTCTGAGAAGGGGACATCTAAAACACCTGATGTTCAGCCACCATATCAAATGGGGTCCACTTCAGTGTTATGGGGATTTTCCCAGATATGGATGGAAGATATCAACAAGGAATTTTGAATTTCTTCTTTGGTTCCAAACTCCATGCCACTCAAGCATACTAACTGTGGACTCCTATGAAGAACAGTGTTTATCAGGGAATCCTATCTTCCGTGATGTGAGTTTTATGTTGGGAGATAAAGTGACCTTTTAGATAAGGTGTCTGACCTCTCCCCTCCCTTGACAGCTATTTCTCACTCCAGACAGCTGCTGCTACAAACAAACTTCGATGGAACACTTTGACAAATGAAGTCAAACCAGGGTCCTTTGTTTCTCTGCAGCCAACGAGCTGGCATTCCACAAGCTCATGAGGGGGCCATGAGTTACTGGAGGCCAGGCCTGCCCCCCTCACTGCTGGCCACCCTTTGGGCCCCATGTTCCCAGGATCTGTGGGGCCAGATGATGCTGTTCCTGGCTCACATTCCATCCTGTCAGGGGACTCTCAAAAATAAATAATATTTACAGCAGAGTTCAGAGCCAGTGAAAGAAAAGAGGGGTAAAAGTACCTTCAGAGTGAGTAGACCAGACGATGGAGGTCATTAGATCTGTGGTTATTAAACCTTTTTTTCATGGGACTCCTGAGCCCTTTTTCAATTGATATGAACATGCACTTATCAAGAGCCTCAGACGCAATGAAAGACATAAAAAACTAACAAAGAAAAACAGAACAAAGTATAGTTTCTAAATCCTGAAAATGTTTCCCTAAACCCATTTGGTCAATGGTTATCGACCACCTACAATGTCCAAGGTCTCCTGCTAAGGCTATAAATAAATCTTCATCCAAAAAAAATGGACTACCTCTGTTTCATAGCAAGAACTTAGGAAACCTAAATAAAAGGGGCCTGGAGGTCTCCTTCTACAAATAATCAAATTGAGCTGAAGGGACTATATTTTAGGAACAGGGGTCAGCCCACTGCAACCCATTGGCCAGATCCAGCCCCCTGCTTGTTTTTATGTGGCCTGTGAACTAAGAATGGTTGGGGGGAAAAAATCTTAAGAAAAATATCCTAAAACATTGGGAAAAAGGTCAAAAGAGGATTATTTTGTGGTACATGAAAATGTATATGACATTCAAATTTCTGAGTTTATAAATAAAGTTTTATTGGAATACTGATATACTCATCTGATTACCTACTATCTCTGGCTGCTCTGCACTTAGAAAGGGAGAAGTGATTAATTGCAACAGAGACTGGGTGGCCTGCAAAACCCACGTGTGCACTATCTGGCCCTTTACAGAAAATGCTTACTGACCCTTGTTTTACACTGTAAAAGAATTTTTTTTGCTTTTGCTGAGATATCTGAATGAGAACATATGCCTCTGCCTTTGTTAGAAAGCCTTCAAATGCATGGGGAGTAGAGAGAAGGCAGCTAAGACCTGAAAACCTAGTCAGCATGAACTTGACAAAGCTGGACGAGTAGAGGTAGATACCAAGTGAAGTAGGTTAGGTTACATTTACAGATCAGATTCCCCAAAGCATGAGAAAACATCCAAGTTCTTTATTGGGGAAGAAGTAGGGATCCATGTTTTTCATACCACTTTTGTTAATTTCCTTTCAATGGGCCAGAATCATATGCCCTGATGCTGTTTTCTTGTACATGAGGTTAATCTTTATGTCTCTAGGCCTCAATTCTAAAGAATGGAGTTCTGGAGACTTCCCTCAGGGGTGTCTAGTAAAACAGAATTCCAGGAATGGTATCTGTTTTCGAGCAGACAGCTCTGTTGGTGGATGGTGACCACCCCCTATCTGACTCCACTAAAGATCAGGAAAGACTGGCAATACAGCCCTGCTACTCAATGGGCCGTGCTTAATGAAATGAAAGATTGAGAATGAAGTTTGTGGGTCTACAGAGTTATTAAAGCAGGGCACAGTTTTCCCCACGGTTAAGTCTGTTTTTGTTCTCTCCCTAATGTAATATCCAGGAAAGGAAGGAAAGTAGAAGTAGGGTATTTATGTTTAACACTTTCATAAAGGTATTTTTTAGAGGCTGGCATTTTGTCCCTTCAGGGTTGGAACTAAAAGAGGGGGAAAAAAAAGTCTAATGGCAGCCCTTTAGTAACTTTCTTTTTTTTTTTCTTTCAGTTTTTGGCCGTACCATGTGGTATGCTGGATCTTAGTTCCCCGACTGGGATCAAACCCACACCCTCGGTAGTCTTGACCATTGGACCACTAGGGAAATCCCTAGTAACTTTCATTTGGTACAGAATATTCTCCTGCTATTACTACATCTTCTCTGCTTGATGTAATTTTTCCACTGACAAGTTGGGAACTGGATTTCATCATTAATATATAATATTAATAAACTGCCCTCCTATGAAGAATAACACAATAGTTTATTTTCATACAGATGCAATAGAATATATTTTTAAGCCAAAAAACTTAGGTAAACTCACCTAGAAAAATCTCCCTTTGCCTCCTGTAGAAGAAGAAAATTCAACATCAGTGACTCATTCTGATCCGTGTTACAGATTTTTAAATGCACTGTAGAATCATGAACTCCTCTATCGAATCATTCCAACTGACTGCTATTTTATCCTATCAGCTACGAGAATATAATTAAGGAAGGATGCAAGCATTTACCACCTGTATAGGAGATAAACTTTAGAAAGTTCTATACAAAGAAAGCAATTCATAATGAAAAGGAAAGTTTCCACTTCTAAGCCCTGATCTAACTTTTTCCACTGTAAAGATTCTGAACCCGGACATGTGTCTGGGTAGCACTATGTGTCTATGTCTTATGGTACGAGCTGTTTTGTCTTGTATTGTGGGGCTTCTGGGGGGAGGGACCGTGGAGTCTGTAATGAATCTAGCATAATGCCTGGAGCACAGTAGTTGCTCAATAAATCTTTGCTGAAGGAAAAAGCTAATGACATCATTTCAGTTCATTCTGCCAGTGTTTCTGATCTTGCCCTTGTGGCTAATATTCGGCGATCCCTCTTTTTCCACACACGCTTAAAGGTATTTTCCTTGTCTTTCATGACAGTGCTTCTCCTGGCAATTACATTCTAGTTTTTTTTACTTGACTTTCTCCAGTGACATGAAGAAGAGGGGGTCACCAGATGATCTCAGTTTCCCAATCTCAGGTTATATACACAATTTTACCTTGCAGAGAGATACTGTCTTAAAATTTTGGACAAGAACAGAGAATAGAGGAGACACTGTTTATTGCTACGGTATAGTTTCCCTAATAGCTCTTTCCTGCTTGTAGCTAAAAGATAAGGAGTAAAGAGCTAGCGGCTATAACAACTGCCATACATGAGGTGTCTTATTCCTATTTCTCTGTGTATGGCCCTGGAATATAAAGATGAAGGGAAACAACTTACCTGTAAAATATATGAGGCCAATTCAAACACTACTTCACTGTCAACATCAATCAGCTCCTGAAAGGAAAACCAAGTAAGATAAGTTTGGTACTTTAACAATGATTTCTTTATGATCTCCCCCGAAAGAGGAGAGGTCTTTCTTATCTGAGATGTTACCCAGAATCTCAAACACCCATAGAACATCTTTTCTGAATTACTTGGACCCAAATGCTCCCTGACATCATTTCTACAGCTCTTATAAGAGCTCCAATGGTCCTGTGTCTACACAGTCACTTCCAGGGCTTTATCCTTAGGTCTTCATGAGAAATTAAGGAATGGATCAGTCTCCAATTTTTCACAAATCTGTCAATCTGATTAATTGATGGATTAAGGTTACTTGATCACCACATGCATTTTTCTTTGTAAACTCTACTTCAGAACCAGTAGTAAGACTTTGCTGGAGAAAAGGTTATGATGGAATTAAGACTCTTTAAAGTTACATAAAGTTAAATACAGTTTCCCAGTTGTATGAGACACATTTCTTCATGTACTCAATACTTCAAGGTAGCTGTTGACTACCATGATGTCAGAGCAAATACGGGCTCTTCACTCACTGCAGAAAGTTTAAAAATGTTTCTCTCAGGACTTCCCTGATGGTGGTCTAGTGGTTAAGAATCCATCTGCCAATGTAGGGGACACAGGTTCGATACCTGGTCTGGGAAGATCTCACATGCTGCAGAGCAACTAAGCCCGTGTGCCACGACCGCTGAAGCCCGCACCCTAGAGGTGGTGCTCCGCAAAGACAGAAGCCACCGCAGCTAGACTAGCCCTGCTTGCTACAACTAGGGCAAGCCTGAGCGCAGCAATGAAGACCCAACACAACCAAAACAATTTACTTTTCTTTGAATTGTAAACCAAATTCTGATCCATGGATTTTCTTAAGATTTTTGTGTGGTCCAGGACTTGCCCCTGTATTTCAAAACAATGCACTAAAGCACACCTATATCTTTAGAGGGAAGGATATCCTGCAGGCTCCTTCAGGTTTAGGAATTTCAAAGATGGATAATAATGTTTGCTACCAAACTACCTAGGAGTGCGAGCTAAGAGAGACGTGGATGGATCGGGGACAATAATTCTTTATGCTTAACCAGCCGAAAGAGCTTTACGGCCACTGTAATTGATTCAGACTGTCAGTGCTGGAGTGTGGAGGAATGCCTGGAATTGCAGTCCTGGGATTACCAGGTCCCATCTGAATGTAAATCATTTAACAGTGGACAAATGATTTAACAGAAACACTGTGCAGGGTTTCCATAATGGATCATTTCTACTCGCACTATATGCTTTTCCATTCCCACCAATTGACTTCCTGAAGTCACTGGTGTGTGCTTGTCGGTGTATTGGTGTGTGTGCTCTGTCAAACATTTACACCGAAGTTGCAGGCGATGGTCAACAGTGGCTAATAGTTAACATCCCAGGAGAGGCCAACTCAAAACCAACCATCAGGAACAGCCCTGGAACATGTGCACATGGTTTTTAGTTCATTACTCGACTCACCTGCTAAAGGAAAACATCCACACTTTTGGGGAGGGGACAAACGTGGGGAGGGTGGACGGTGGTCATTTTCTAATTGATTTGGTTTTGCACAGTCCATTCTGCAGTCCTGGGGGGAACTGCCATTCCCTAGTCATGGGGCAACATTAATTGTAATGTACCATTTTTCAGAGTCAAGCTACCTAAGATGTCCATTTAAACACTGACCTGATTTATATGAATTCTTTCTTACCAACTGCATGTGTCCTTAGGGTAAATGAAAACTAGCAACTCTAAATGGGGTGAGTTTCCACCTTCTCTGCTCTTTTTTTTTCATTTATTTTTATTAGTTGGAGGCTAATTACTTTACAATATTGTAGTGGGTTTTGTCATACATGTTCTTGACCATCTCCCAGTGAAGATATTAAAAACACTGAGAGCCAGAACGTGATCAGTAAGAGGAAAAAGCATTGAAAAATAAGGTGGCCCAGACATCCCCCACTTTTCTAAAATCTGATGGGAAAGAGAGCTGCAGTATTCCTTCTCACCGTTTCTGTTTAATATTGAGTTCAAGAATCACAGCATTAGGCTTCCCTGATAATCTACTAGTTAAGAATCTGCCTATCAGTGCAGGGGACATTGGTTCCATCCCTGGTCCGGGAAGATTCCACAAGGTACGGAGCAACTCAGCCCGTGCGCAGCAACCACAGAAGACCATGTACACTAGAGCCCGTGCTCCACAAGAGAAGACACCACAATAAGAAGTCTGTGCACTGCAACAAAGAGTAGCCCACGACTGCTGCAACTGGAGAAAGCCTGGGAGCAGCAACGAAGACCCAGCACAGTCAAAAATAAAAAATAAATCTTAAAAAAAAAATATCACCGCATTGTCTGTTCTCAGAGGAGTCAGTTCAGAGATCTAAATGGCGTTTATAAGACCCAATCTAGGACTGCGGAATGGGGGCCAGGGGAAGAAATCCTCTAACTGGGAAGAAAATTCTTTCCTACTATGCAGTCTGCCCAACTGCCTGAGGTCTGTTTACAACACAAGGTTTACAAAGGATGAAGCCTTCCCTTTTGCATCCCTGGCCCTGCCAGGTGACTTTTACCTTTAAAATTCCCCTGAGATGGAGCAGAGCTCTAGGCTTCCTGCCCACACCACACATTTCCCACTGTGCCTCGAACCCCAAGAGCTGAGTCCCCATGGGGAGGAGTGGACAGATGTTTCCAGGCGTCCACTTCCCACAAAATATTCGAGAGATGACTCCACCTTCCACCTTTTCCTTATCTGGCTTTTCTTGAACAGAGGTGGCTTCTTTCAAGTGTTTCTGCTCAAGCAGAGCAGATTAACTGAAGAAGACCACAAAGAGAGCATGCAAAAACCTTGTGCTTTCTTGGGGCGCTGGGTTTTCCTTTGATGGAGGATGAATCAGAGAAGGATAGGGAGCAGAAGGCCCTTCAAGGAAGGGGTAGGGGTGCTTTCCCATCTGGCACCATCCACGGGCTGAACATGCGACATTCCTCTGTGTCTCCAGGGCTCCGAGAGCCATTGGGGTGGGGGATCTGCAGAGCAGGGCTGTCTGCTGAGCCAGTCTTCCTTGGGAATCCAAGGTGGTCTGGAGGGCACGGAGTCATTTTCTTTTGAGACTCACTGGTAAGAGGGAGATGCTGATAGGAGGGAAAGTGATGTCACGGAGTTCACAAGTCCTTTGGATATCTGTTTTTACTGTGTTGTTTTTTAGTCACTAAATTGTGTCTGATTGTGTCCAACTCTGCAATCCCATGGGCTGTAGCCCACCAGGCTCCTCTGTACATGGAATTTCCCAGCCAAGAATACTGCAGTGGGTAGCCATTTCCTTCTCTAGAGGATTTTCCCAACCCAGGGATTGAATCCTGCGTCTGCTGTATTGGCAGGGGATTCTTTACCCCTGAGCCACCAGGAAAGCACTGTTACACTTTTTCTACTGAATAACGCATGCTGCTTTCTCTGATCTTTTGATACATGGTATGCAAAGACAAAATGTGACTCTGCAAGGGTGTGTGTATGTATGTTCAGACAGGGCCGGGAAGATGATGCCACTTTCTCCCACTCAACAAGGTTTTATCCCAGGTGATTAAGTCGCTAAAGGAAGAGGCCTGAGGTCATTTATCAGCAGTCTCAGAGTTAACAATATTCTCAGAAAGATTTCTACTTTGAGGGTCTCCAAGTGTTCCAAAGAAAGAGCCCCATGAGACCCCCAAGTGGCAGGTGTTATGGACATTCTCCAAAAGTCCTGAAAGCTGGAGGAACTCGTCACGATTTCCTTGCTCCGGGGACCTTCGTGGTGGTCTTCAGACTCAACTGAGAATCTTAACAAAAAACATTCCTCCATGGTCAGGAATGAGAGAAATTCCAGCTTTCATGGAAGATTCATGAGAGAATTATAACAGAAAAGATGATAAGCAACCACATGGTAGGTTGGGGAGATTTACATGAGGACGACCTTTGCAAAGTTCAAGCAAAACAACCTGCAGGGTTGTCCAATAGTTTTCCTAGTAAATCTTCACCCATTGTAATAACCATCTTTCTTTGCACCCACAAAACGCCTGAAGAAGATGGTTTCCTGCCATCCTCTTTAAGAAACTTTCTACTTTGGGACTTTGAATAAATACATCACTGGACCTCTTCGAGTTTCAGTTTTCTCATCAGTAGAATGAGGAGAACACTTTCTTTTCTATCTTTCTTTCTTCATTCCTTCCTTCCTTGGCCATGCCTTGTGACTTGTGGGAACTCAGTTCCCTGACCAGGGGTCAAACCTATGGCCCCTGCAATGGGAGCCATAGGGAGTCCTAACCACTGGACCTCCAAGGAACTCCCAGAAGAACAATTTCTTTTTCAAGTACTGTACTGAGTCTGGTGAAGTGGAACTGTACAGGTGATTTGGACACTCTAAGACACACCACAAAGATCAAGTCTGTATTATTATTTTTTTTGTTCCCTGGCCTTTATGGATCATCTGAACTCCACAGAATCTCTGTTCTGTTCACAGTTTTGTTCATTTTTTTTTTAGCACTTATGTTCTAGAATTTATTGGAATCTTTAAGAAGACTTAAAAAAAAAAAGAGGTGGGAAGCATTGTGCAAGTGTGTGTCTACACATGTCTATATGTTGGTCACCATGTATATCACCCCAGTGGGTCCTCACACCCACACTCAGCCTCGCTGTGCCCGGTGACTGCCCCGTCTCATTGCACAACCCGCAGTGGCTACAGGAAGGTGCCCCAGGCAGTGAGGGGCTGGGGTGCAGGATGAGACTGATGTGGTCTTGCACAATTCCTCTTTCTGAGCCCTTTGCCAGGTTTTCATCCATCAAGTCACTTCATGTTTGTCTGCAGCACTTGCACTTGGTGGCCTAGGGATTTCTCCCAGTGTCCACGGTATACACTGCATTTCATGATCTTGAGGACTCTCTCCTATGGAGATCACAGGCACAGCCAAGATGATCGGTCTGTGTGAGTTTCTTTCTAGAGAACTGAAGAGGGAAGTCCCTCTCTGTCTTCTTTCCCTTC